GTCTGGGGTTGAGAAGCTCGAGAAGTTCGTCGTCGCCCTGGGGTTCAAGGAACATCATTTTGGACCAGAGGCAAGCGTCTTCAAATCTTGGGAGAGCTACGTCCGGGCCACAAAGCATCGGAGGCAGTTGGCAGGCTCAGTCCAAGCCATCAAGGATGAGAATAAGTTCGCGGCAGACAGGCTGAGCGCGGTCGTCATGGTGAAATCCTTGCTCTCCAGTGCCACCGTGCCAATGTCCGAGGAGGCCGACAAGAAGATCCAGGATTGCATCCAGGCTGCTGGCGTCGAAGAGTCCGCGAAGCAGGAGGGCGCCATGGTGCTCAAGAAGTTCTTCGCGTCGGCCTTTGCCGGCGACGTGGTGGTCGTGCCCCCAGATGGAGCTGAATTGGAGACTTTGCGATGGCTACCATGGTTTGAAACTCCAGCTTTCTTGCAGGCGTGCGTGAAGTTGACGACGCCGCTGGCGTTCTTCATGTCGCAGGCCGAGAACATCCAGAACTTCGTGGGTATTGCTCCGTCTGCCAAGCCAGATGACTTCGCCGTGACGGCCTACCGCCACGCGAAATTCGTGGCGGATATCACCCGCGAGGACCTCCACCACAGGATCGATGTCATTCTGAAGGGGTACGTTACCAACGACGACCAAGTCAGGGCCTCCGTCGACCTCGTCATCCGCTATGGCGGCACCATTCGCGGCAAGGCCAATGAGATGATCGACTGCCACGTTAAGAGGTACGCAGCCAGCGTGGAGAAGTTGCAGAAGACTTCATTCGACCCGCCCGGCCGCGCCGACGGCAAGGACAAGCTGGGGTCCGACGAGGACTTCAAGCAGAGCTTCAACCCCGAGGCCGCCAAGAAGTGCATGAACGAGGTGAATGCCGACAAGACGTCGCTTTGCCACGTGTTGACCGCGTTCGGCGAGAAGGAGGCCAAGATCGAGGTTCTCGAGGAGGGCGACATCGCCGTCAAGAACATCAAGCGCCAGATCAATCGGGCAGCGGTCATCATCCTCGTGAACATGAGCCAGATATCCCATCCATCTCGCGGCGCTGCAGCTCGCAAGAACTTGAAGGCCATCAACGATGCCATTACTAAGCTTGGAGGTGACTGCCTGACTGAGGAGACAGCTAAGCGAGTCGAGGAGATCCTCGGCAACGACGAGTCTGCAGAGGACGGCGGTGCAGGGAACGAGGTGCCGACCGATGGCCTGGGCGCGCCCGAGGGCGAGAAGGGCACCGAGAACGGGGCGAAGGATGAGAAGCGTAAGCCAGCCAAGGCTAAGAAGGAGCCCAAGGAGAAGAAGGAGCCCAAGGAGGGGAAACCAAAGAAGGAGAAAAAACGACAAGAAAGAGAAGAAATATAAGAAAGAGAAGACGGGCTAGAAAGAACCGAGCGCCTGACCAGCGACCTAGGTCTGTTCAACGTGGCGGGACTGGAGCACGGGGCTTGAGGCGGGGGGGCGCTGCACCAGACGGCAGCTTGATGCCCTTCAGCCAGAGCGCGCGGCCGCGGGCCGCGCTGCGCGCTGCTGCCAGCAGGGAGCGTTGGCGCCGGGCTGAGGGGCCAGTTTGTGGGGCGGCTGTTACCGCCCATCGATACTTTGGCGCAGGGGTGCGCTAGCAAGATTCATGTGTAATCGGTCGGCTGCATGTTGTGAATCCTGAAATCCCGCTCCGTTCGGTTCAATTCCGTAGACTGAAGACTTCTTTCCCGAGACCTCCAGGACTCCCCCAGGACACTTGAGACGTGAGCCTCCGTTTGGTTTTCGGCCCCGTCGAATTGATCGATCGGCCGACTCAAGGCCCCTAGCCTAAGCCAGCAAGGTTATTAGCCCAGCCAGAATGTTCACCCGAAAAGCCCAGCCGCGAGATCCAGCCCAAATTCCCAAAGTAAACCGCCCAGCCCAAAGGCCCACCCATAGCCCCGAGCCAATGCCGCGTGCCTAGACTTACATATGTTTTATTTGCCGTTGCCCATTCCCCATTCAAACCCATATGGCCCTGAAATAGATGCAAGATAACTTCCATGCATTCGGGGCGGGATGCCAGGGTAAGCGGCCCGGCGACCCCGTTCCAGTAGCGACGGGCACGTTCCCACCGTCAGCGCATCATCCGGAGCCATTGTCAGCCGTTCTGGGCCGTTCGTTTTGCATCAGTCTTTCGGAGCCCACGGCCATGAAGCGCCCAGCTTCGGCGCATGGGGACCTCCTGGAGGAGGCGAGCGCTCAGCGCCACGGCCGCGGCAACATCAGCGGCCATTCCTTGTGCGACCCGGAGAAGAACCTACTACTCGAGGTCCAGAAGGGGCAGATCAAGAAGCTGGAAGCGCTGTACCCGAATGCCGCCAAAACGATGGCAGATAATATCGCCCAGGTCACGCGCGTTTTCAGCAAGTTCACCGTGGCATCCTTGTGCTCTGGAAGCAACGTGGCCTTCCTGGCGTTCTTGACCCTCGTCTTGGCTCTGAATGCCCCTGGGGACGTCTGCAACCTCTTCGACGTGGAGCGTGACTCCGCGAAGCAGAAGTGGCTCAAGGGGGTCATCAACGCCTCGTTCGGCGAGACCTGCGTGTTCAACGAGATGGCGGACATGGGGGACTTCAGCGCTCCCTGTTGCGTGCACAAGGCCAGGAAGCGCTGCCACGTACCGACTGACAAGGGCGGTCCCTTCATAGTTTCTTGCGGCTTCTCTTGCAAAGACCTCAGTAAAGCCAACGCCGCCCGATCTACTTTCAAGCACGCCGTCCGCAACAAGGACGGAACCAGCAATACGGCCACCACGATGTGGAACTTCCATGAGTATTGTGAGCACCATCGGCCCCCGTTGGCTGTATGTGAAAACGTAGAGGAGTTCATTTCGGCCTCATCCAGCAATTGGAAGGAGTTTGTGCATTCGTTCTTTGGCATCGGATACGCTTCCAAATGCGTCGCCATTGATGCAGCATCGTGGGTTCCTCAGCGTCGGAGGCGGGCGTACATCCTGGTCATGCAGTGGGCATTCTTCGACTTGACGTTCGACGAAGCGGGTGAGGTCCTCAAGAAGATGACGGAGACGGCAGCGAGCGTGGGTTTCGACAAGCCGCTCCCCTGGTCGAGAATCCTGGTTCCCGTGGGTCACCCGCGACTGCAAGCCGAGTTGAATGAGCTCCAAGCCATTGCAGAGAAGCGCAGGGCGGCAAGGGATTCAGATCAGAGCTCGAGAACTGTCCCTTGGAACGAGAGACAGCTGAAGGAAATGTGCAAGTCTGGCGTCTCCTACTCCTCCATCAGGAACGCCGAGGTGGAAGAGAATCCGTGGTTCAAAACCTTGCTGCCGCGCGAGCAGCTCAGCCTCCTGTACTTGCTCTCTACGAAGCCACAGTCCCAGACGTTGGACATCTCCCAGACGGTGTCTCGCGTCCCGAGGTCGCAACCGGGGCCCTCGGCCGCGTCGGCCGCCCAGCTTGATAGCACGGGCGAGGGTGCAGCTCCTACTGACAGCGACGACCATCTTTGCAGCACGCTGATGACCCACTCGTCAATATGGAAAAGGTCTGAAGGGAGGCTCCTCCTCGGATGGGAATTATGCAACTTGCAATGCATCCCGTGCGATGCCCTTCCAGGCGCCGCTGAGATGCCGCGCAGTACCTTGACCTCTCTAGCAGGGGATGCTTTCTGCGGGGCTTCCTTCTCGGCGGCACTGATAGGCATCCTGATGCACATGCCGAGTATCCCCCAGGATCCAAAGTTCCATGGGGACAAGACTGCTGAGATATTGGCGTCGTTGATCTGGGTTGACCCCGACGCTAGTTAGCTCGTGGCGCGTTGCCCCCGATAACTGATCAGGTGGTTGCGGTCGCGTTGGCATCCAATCGTATCCGTTTCTTCTCCACCTAGTGCCCCCGCTTCCACCTCCCGTCCAGGTTCCCCATTCCTCCTCGCAGCTCCTCCGTATTCTGTTTTCTCCTCCCTTCCCCTGCTCCGAAGACCTCCTTGCCTCCCCCCTGGTTGCCGTCGCCCCCGCTGCCGCCGCCCCGCCCCCCGCCTTGACGTCGAACAGTTCGGCCAGGCCCGCCCCCGCCGCCCCGCCAGCCGCCCGGGGCGCGGGGGGGAGAGGCAAGAAGGTAGCGGAGGGGGAACAGAGGATGGGGGGCAAGGAGGAGGGGGAGGAGGAGGAGGAGGAGGAGGAGGAGGAGGAGAAGGATGAGGAGGAGGAGGAGGAGGAGGAGGAGGAGGAGGAGGGGGAGGAGGAGGAGCGAAAGGTTTCGGTCGCTCGGCAGGGTGGCGGCCGTGACGCTTCGTTTCGCTCGGCAGGGTGGCGGCCGTGACGCTTCGTTTCGCTCGTTCGGTCGCTCGGCAGGGTGGCGGCCGTGACGCTTCGTTTTGCTCGGCAGGGTGGCGGCCGTAACGCTTCGTTTCGCTCGTTCGGTCGCTCGGCAGGGTGGCGGCCGTGACGCTTCGTTTCGCTCGGCAGGGTGGCGGCCGTGACGCTTCGTTTCGCTCGTTCGTTTGATCGGAAGAGTGTGCAAGATACAGCGACGAATCCCAATATGAGTACAGTGTGTAAGATAAAGTCATGCGCCCGTTGAATGTTCAAGATAAATGTTGACGCCCAGAGAAATACGCCCGTTGAATGTTCAAGATAAATGCCGACGCCCACAGAAATGTTCAAGATAAATGCAGACGCCCACAGAAACGGCAAGATAAATACACATCCCAAGATAAATGCGAAGATAAATGCATAATATAAAGCCATAGAGTGTAAGAACTGAGTTTATATAAATCATCATCATCATCATCATCATCATCATCATCATCATCATCATCGTCATCATCATCATCGTCATCATCATCAGTCTCATCAGCCTCATCATCATCACCGGGGAAGAAGAGGCGTAAGAGGAGGAGGAGGAGGAGAAGGCGGAGGAGGAGGAGGAGGAGACTGCCCGACCTCTCCGCGTCGTTTCCTTCGGTCGTGATGCAGAGAGTCAAGCGTGCGCGCGCTCGCGCGCGCGCAGCGAAGGCGCAGACCCCCTCGCGGTGGACGCGCTGGGCGCGACGCCCGCTCTTCTCGCGGTGCAGTACCAGCAGGACGTGCCGGGCCAGCCCCCCCCCCGGGAGCGAGGCCCGGGCGAGTTCGATTGACCCCAGACGGGGAAGGCTTGGGGTTGCGCACTGACTCGGAGAGGAAATAACGGCATAGACATTAACTTTTGGCGCTCCGCACGGATTTCTTGGATCCGCGCTGGGGCCCCCCAGCGGCGCCTCTGGTGCCGCCCCTGGCGCGCTCCGCGCGCCAGGGAGGGGGGTCCAGCGCAGATCCAAGAAATCCGTGCGGACATCCAATAGTTTATGTTTATGCAGTTTTTTCTCTTTCGAAGACGGGGACGGCCTGGGGTTGTGCACTGACTCAGTATCGTTTCACCGGCCCATACCTCCATCCCCATCCCGAGCCCGACGACTGCAGCACCCCAGCAGGGGATATATGATCCCAGGCCTTGGGCCCACGGGCCCCCCCCCCCCCCCAGATGGGATGGGTCTCAGGGTCCCTTGCCCCCCCCCCCCCTGATGGGATGGAAGGGGGTACGACTATTACGATGACGACCACGACCACGACGACCTCAGATCTCTGCCGGAGGCCGGCCGCCCTGGCTAGCACCGCAACAGCACGCCCCACCCAGAGGGAGGCGACAATGGCGAAGACACCTCCGACGACGATGTTGCTCCTCCTCTCTCCGTCCCCCTCCTCATCCCTCTCTCCTCCTTCCTTGGCCCTCTCTTCCCCTCTTTGCTTTCCTCATTTCTTCTCCCCACGTATCCGCCACTCCTTCGAGGCAAAGGCAGAGGACGACGACGACGACGACTACGACGACGACAACCACCACATATACACTTTGAAGCCCGAAGGGAACGGCCTATATCCTCATGGGGGTAAATCGGCCACTGGGACCATGGCCACGCCAATGCGGATAAGGATCGGTTAAACGATGTTCACTGACAGCCCCCCTAGGGTAGTCTCGACTGGCGTCAACGGGCCCTCCGAGTGGTCCCACCTGGCCTTGACATGTAACATGCCCCCCGAGAAGCGCGGGGCGGACTCGATGCCCTGGCGCCGCCTCCGGCGGTGCCCCTAGGGCCCTCCGCGCCCCAGGGTTGGGGTGTTGAAGACCGCCCCGGACTATTTGGGGGGGCCTGTGACGGCCAGCTGGGACCATTCAAAGGGGGTTCTTGAGACCGGCGGGGGCTTCCTTGGGGGGCTGTCTGCGCGCCACTCGAAGCCTATACCAAACAAGACATGTTCGCGCCGCGGAAGCAGGATTTCGGCAGGTTCATCAGCCGATTCGGGCAACGGTAACGGTACGGTGGGTGCGTTCGTTAACGAAGGTGCCCAGGGTGCTTCAGACCCCGGAGGATTCCTTATCTGATGAGGTCGGCAGTGACATCCATGGCCAATCCACGAGTGGTGTTCCACCAGCCTTAGGACCCTGGATTTAAGTCGGGCCTGTCCCTCTACAGGGGAAATATTCAAAAATTGTTTAAAAATAGTCTGGGGACTATTTTGGGGGCCTTTTTTTACCATCTTGGAGTATTTGTTGAGTATGTTTAATTTTTCGTAGACAATTCCTCTGTAGGGGGACACGCCCGACTTGACCCTGGATTCCTTACCCAATGATTCCTTGTCCCATGCCCTCGCCGTAACGCGCTGGGCGGGGCGGGCGGGGGCACCCGCGGCGCAGAAAATCTGCGAGCACCGGCAGGGCACCCGCGAGCACCGGCAGGCCCGCCCCCCGAGACGTACGATCACCACCGTTGCCCAGGGCGGGGGTCTTGGTCCGGGTAACGACTGTTATCGGGGGCGGCGAAGAGGGGGCAGGAGGCCTCCCCGGGCCGGGCCAGGAGGCCTCCCCGGTGCCATGCGGAGGCAGCTCGACGTCCTGGGGCGGCCCAGGGCCCTCCTGGCCCTGCGCCTGGAAGCCAGCACCGTGTGAGGAGACGCGGCCTTGGCGCCTCACGTGGTTCCGGCGCCCTGGGGCTGCCTCCGAAGGCCCCCTGGGTGCCATTTCTCGGGGGCGGCAAAGAGGGGGGTGATGACTAGGGGGGGGGCGTGGGCCATGAGATTTCCCAGATTTCATGGCGCCTCTTCTTATTTCATTACGTCCCTGGCCCCCTGCTGGGCCGCGCACATGCCGCCGGTCATGATTTGCACCCCCCCCTCTTGGACACCCTCCTCTTGGCCGCTCCCGAGGTTACGCGCCAGGGGGTGAGAAAAAGAGCCTCAATCGCCCCCTTCTGTTCGTATCGATCCTCGGACCCGTGGGCCCCCCCTGGGGTGCGCGCCGACCAAGCTCTCGAAGGAGGCGATCCAGCCGTGGGGAAAGGTCAGGACCTCTGGGGCCCCGCACTGGAAAAGTCAGGACGTCGGATCGCCGACACCACCTCACCGGTCCCAGCCGGGCCGATCCTGGGATCAGGCTTTAATGTACCCCCCACCTATACACATGAGAGTTGATTATCCACGGCCAATAAGAGTTTGGTCGGGGGCGCGGGGGCGCGGAGGCCGAACTTCATTATCACCGTGAAAAGTTCGCCATCGAGGTTACTTCCTATGTTGAGATAGCAGCATCAAGCGAAACAAGCATACACTCGAGGATGTCTCAAGCGAAACAAGCATACACTGAAGGACGTCTCGAGCGAAACAGTACGTTTCTTAAGGATGTCTCCTTCTCCTCTCCTCCTCCTCATCCTCCTCCTTCTCCTCCCCCTGGCACCCTGAACTTGTTTATCGCTGTGGTTGATTATCCTGGGAAAACGAGGCAGATGAGCCACCCTACACGAGCAGATGAAAATTTTAATTCCCATTAAGCGCTCACAAATAAATCTAGTAAGTTTTGAACTTTGGAATTGTTCTTCCTTCTCGTCTTCCTCTCCTCTCTCTCTCTCTCCGTCTCTCTCTCTCTCGATATGTTTCTCTTTCTTTCTCGACCTCTTTCTCTCTTTCTCTTTGTCTCTCTATATGTCCTCCGTCTCTCTTTCGCTTTCTCTTTCTTTCTTTCTTTCTCTCTCTCTCTCTCTCTCAACGTTTCTCCTTCTTTCCGTGCCCCCTCGAACTTTTTCCCAACCATCCTGTGGTGTTGGGTCCCCGTTTTGAAGAGACAGCGCCCCGCGTCCCACCTCTCCTCCTCCTCCCCCTCCTCGCCCTCCTCCCTCCTCCCCCTCCTTGCTTCTGCTCTCGGCACACCCCTCACACGTTTCGTAGCCCCATAGGGAGCTCCACCGAAGGGCCCAGTGGCACAGCCAACATGCGGTTCCACCCAGGGCAGCGTTTCGTAGCCCCATAGGGAGCTCCACCGAAGGTCCCAGTGGCACAGCCCGCATGCGGTTCCCCCACCCAAGGCAGCGTTTCGTAGCCCCATAGGGAGCTCCACCGAAGGTCCCAGTGGCACTGCCCGCACGCGCTTCCCCCACCCAGGGCAGCGCTTCGTAGCCCCATAGGGGAGCTCCACCGAAGGTCACAGTGGCACAGCCCGCATGCGGTTCCCCCACCCAGGGCAGCGCTTCGTGGCCCCATAAGGAGCTCCACCGAAGGTCACAGTGGCACAGCCCGCATGCGTCCCCCCCACCCAGGGCAGCGCTTCGTAGCCCCATAGGGAGCTCCACCGAAGGCCAGTGGCACAGCCCGCATGCGGTTCCCCCATCCAGGGCAGCGTTTCGTGGCCCCATAGGGAGCTCCACCGAAGGTCCCAGTGGCACAGCCCGCATGCGGTTCCCCCACCCAGGGCAGCGTTTCGTAGCCCCATAGGGAGCTCCACCGAAGGTCACAGTGGCACAGCCCGCATGCGCTTCCTCACCCAGGGCAGCGTTTCGTGGCCCCATAGGGAGCTCCACCTAAGGCCCCAGTCGCGCAGTTCGCATGCGGTTCCCCCACCCAGGACAGCGCTTCGTGGCCCCATAGGGAGCTCCACCGAAGGTCCCAGTGGCACAGCCCGCATGCGGTTCCCCCACCCAGGGCAGCGTTTCGTGGCCCCATAGGGAGCTCCACCTAAGGCCCCAGTCGCGCAGTTCGCATGCGCCCCCTCTCCCCCCCCCCACCCACGGCAGCGCTTCGTGGCCCCATAGGTAATTAGCTCCCCCGAAGGTCCCAGTGGCGCAGTTCGCATGCGTCCAGTACTGCGTTTCGTTGCCCCATAGGGAGCTCCACCGAAGGTCCCAGTGGCGCAGTTCGCATGCGTCCTCCCCACACCCAGTACAGCGCTTCGTGGCCCCATAGAGAGCTCCACCGAAGGTCCCAGTGGCGCAGTTCGCATGCGCCCCCCCCACCCAGTACAGCGTTTCGTGGCCCCATAGGGGGCTTCCCCGAATGCGATACCCACAACTGCATATGGTTTGGTCTTTCGCCAGGCTAAGTTTTATCGCTGTGGTTGACTATCCTGGGAAAGCGAGGCAGATGAGCTACCCTACGCGAGCAGATGCACATTTTAGTTTTCGTTAAGCGCTTACACATAAAATCTAATAGGTTTTGAACTGTGGATTCTTGCTCCCTCCTCCTCCTCTCTCCTTCTCCTGCTCGTTTCTTTTGTTTCTCTATGTTTATATGTGTCTAAATCTTGTCGAGGATGTCTCGAGCGAGACAAACCATTGTTGAGGATGTCTCAGAGAGGACAAAAAGCCAAGGATGTCTCAAGATATCCTCGGCTTTGGCTCCTCTGTTAACATCTTTATGCTGGCCTCTGGTGGATACTTCCACCGTAACCGCTCAACTTTATTCTCCCAGAGGGGGTTATCATCGGCTGTTTGGGGTCATGCTCTCGGCGCGTTTGCATAGCTTGCAGCTTTCACCACAACTCGACCTTGTTTTCACAATATCGTATTGCTGTTGTTTGTGTTTGTCGGTTCCAGTGATCGCTATGTCTATTTCAGCCTCTCCTCCTTCTGCGCCTCTCTCTCACCTCCCCGCCCCGCGGCCGTCTCGGATCGCAGGGCCCTTGAGTTGTGTGGCGCGCAGGCAGCGGGCGCGCTCGAACCCCCGTAAAGATGGAAAGAGAAAGTGTTATTGTTTGTTCTTCTTCTTTTTTCTCTATCTCTCTCTTTCT